GCTTGTTGATGAACAGTTCGACAAAGCTCTTAGTATACCAAGGGCTGAACGTTTGAGGAAAAAGGTCAAGCCAGCAAAGAAAGTTTTTCCATTGATGCTCGACTAAAATCCAATTTTGCCAGATATCCAAAAAGTTATTAAAAAGCACTTTTATCTATTACAATCCTCACCAGAAGTCAAAGAAATTTTTCCAGCGAAGTCGATATTTCCCGCTTATCGTAGAACCAAAAATCTTAAGGAGATGTTGGCGCCACCAAAATTTCGGGTAACCTCCAGTGGAAATCAGGGTGAAGAAAACACAGGTTATTCAAAATGCTATTTAATTCAAGCTTCCAAATTTCAAAGTTCGGCAACCGGTCGTCAATATTCCATTCAACAGGAGCTGTCTTGTTCGTCACAGAATGTTATTTATTTGGCCACTTGTGCCAATGCAACCTGCAATATGTAGGCTCCACCTCGACTGAATTTAAAGTAAGATTTCGTAATCACAAGTCCAACATGCTTAAGAACAAAAGAATTTGTGAGTTGGCCATCCATTTTAATGACTCTGAACATGAAATTTCTCAAAACAGTTTGAACAAATTAGGTCTTTTGAAAATTCCTTACATCTTGAACGATTATTACTCATTAGATAAGCCTATTGGGCCGCGCAATTATTCACCCTTAATCCTCATGGTCTCAACAAACGGCGAGAATTTAGATCAAAACACCACATTAATTACTACAATTGAGTAGCTGTAATTTGCCATTTTTCCAACATGACGTACTTTATTTTAATTTTACTCTATTATCATTTTTGATATTTGTTTATTTCTGAGTTCAAGGGCTCTTTTCAGGGATTCTGTTATGTTTGTTATCGGTTTTTCATTAAAAAAAGGGGCCTTGGAGGGGAGATTGTTGCTGCGGTTTAATGGCCCTTTCCTGGGATCCTGTTGTAATTTTTGCCTGATTGCATTCATTCAGAGGCCTTCAATGGGGAGCTTGTTACTCCGGAGTAAACACTACAAATTAATTTAGATTCTTTTTTTTTCTCTCTAGTTTTTGTCACTCATTTTTATTCACCTTATTTGTACTCACATATCACCCCTAGTTCTTTATTTGCCTTTCATTGTTTAACCCTTCTCAGTTTGTAATTTAGACCTATGCTGTATTACGTAACCTCAATCTTAAAATTTCGGTTTTGTATATAAGTCGCAATCATTTTAAATAGTTTTTTTA